AAAAAAGATATTCTCTTTTATTGATATCACTAACGGATAATGTGTTCAGTCCATTCACACATCTAAGTAGTGGGCGTCTCTACAATTCCACTTGACACGTCAATCTTAAGATCAAATAGTGATCGCTACCGTTATGATGATGATGGTGATGAACACCGTACGTGATTCTTTTTTTGTTTTCATGCTTCAACGAAAAACAAAGCAAAGATGATGAGATCACCTGCCTTTTTTTAAAATGAATTCTATCCTTTTTCTATTCCCTTAAGATATGAAATTAAAAAAAAAGAACAAAGATGAATCTGTATATATATATATATATATATAGTAAGGCATTATCATGAATGCGGTAGTTTTGATAGAACAAGACTATACAATTTCAATTTCTTCTCTATGATGATTTGCCAAAGGGCAAAATATATCATGCCATATTATTCAAGTAGTATCTTGAGAACAGCGAGAAAAAATAATTCATCGATTGGACAAATATTCTCCGTGTAAAGTGATTCTTCTCCTTTTTTTTTCTTCCTCACTTGAATATTTATTTGGCCAACAGCACGAGTCGTCCATCTTCATCATTCGTTCGTTTTATTCGTACTCTGACCAACCATTCTACATCATACACACGATCTCGCGTGTGTAAATTGTATGTGTGTCGAGACATGCAAGAGAGAGAGAGAAAGAGAGCTAACAAAAAAAAAAAAAAAGAAAACGGACAAGGAGAAAAGAGAGAATAATTATAGTGCAATCGTCAAGACAACGAATCAGAATACATACAAATATAGATAGACAGACGAGTATATCACTTCTCAAAAAATATTAGATCCTGTTCACGCATATACGCGACTATACACATTACAAACAAAAATAAATGCCTACTGATCGTTTTGCACCTTATCCATTACCACCTCATATTAATCACAATGAATATCGAAAGGTAAAAAAAAAAAGAGCGAATAATTGATTGATGTAATAAAAAAACCACGTATGTTTTTTTTTTGTTAAGAATGCAAAACCAATTATGGAAAAACGAAGACGAGAAAGAATTAATCGAAGTTTAGAAGAATTAAAAAATCTTATTCTTGATAATGCAACAACAAATGTAAGTAACAATAGAAATTGTTTTCTATTTAAAAAACAAAAACAATTTTAATAATAATATTTTTTTTTTTAGAATGTACGTAGTCATAAATTAGAAAAAGCAGATATTCTTGAAATGACTGTTAAACATTTACGAGCTGTTTACAAACATAAATTAGCTAGTAAGAAATCAACAAAGAAAAATAGAATTATTTTCCTTCTAAAAAAAAGCTTTTTTTTGTTTTTTGTTATCTAGCTGCTGCTGCTACTGATCCAACTGTAGCTTCAAAATATCGTGCTGGTTATGGTGAATGTGCCAATGAAATTATACGATTTTTAACTACAACACCAAATGCTGATTTAGAATTAAAAACAAAACTTATATCACATTTATCAGCTCGTATACAAAATCTTTCGTCATTATCAATTTTACCACCTATTCAACCAACATTATCACAAATACATCCAACAACCAGTTTGTTAACAAAAACAGATCGTTATTCCGTTAATTCATCAACAAATAATCAGTATATTTTTATTTTACCTCAACAACAACAACATCAGCAGAAAATTCAAAATTCATCAGCAACATTTGATGATGATGTTGATTGTAGTTCAACATCATCAAATAATTCAAGTGATTGTGAATCAAATAAATCCGAAGCACGAACAATAACAACAACAACAGATAGTCTAAAAAGTACAATGATTGAATCACCATCAAAAGTATGGCGACCTTGGTGACCTATAAAACGTTTAATTCTTATTATTGTTGTTGCTGTTTTTTGCATTGTTATTTTGTGTACATTTAAAAAAAAAAGAAATGTGTCTATAAGCAATGTTAATCCGTATTATTCGACAGTTTATTAGAAGGTGATGAGAAATGCAAAAGTTAATTTGAAAAAATTGTTTACACCTATATATATATATATATGCATGTATTGTATGGTTATATCTATTCCTCCTGATCTTTTTACGATATATATGATGAGTGTATTATAATTCTTGTGTACACATAGACAAGGTGGAGAAACAAGTGTTGAGATGCGCTTATATTAACGAGATTTCAAATCATATGAACACACTTGAATATGAAAACAGAGATGCATTAGTCCTATGTGAGTTCTTTACTGTCTCAATTAACTTGACGTTTTTTTTTTCTTGTGTTTTGTTTCGACGGTATGACAACGACAAGTGTAGAACAATCAATCTTCAATATTGATGATAATGAGAACAGGCAAAATTTAAGTTAAAAACAAAGTAGTAAAGCGAAAGAAAGAAAGAGAGAAAGTTTTGAGATATATTAATAATGACTTGGATGAATAATGACTTGAAAATGAGACATTTGTATATGTATAGTAGATAGAGATTGTAACAAAAAAAAATGAACAATATCAATGACTAATAGATGTATTTTATTATTTTCTACAAGAGATAGTATTTTATCATCTTATAATAGTTTCAAAAATGAATATTTAAATAGTAACGCGATCATTGAATCAAATAATCGATTAAAAAATAGTTGTATCAATTGTAACAGGTTATAAGAAGAATTCGATGTTTCTCGCATGTAGAAAATTACTATATATAAAACGGAGTATAGAGATAAGTTAGAATAGATATACAATTTTTTTTTCTTCTTTAATGAATTATTCCACCTCTTTAGTCGACCAATAATAGAATTCCTATTGATATTTCTATTCCTGGCTATAAAAAAAAATGTCATATGCATTATCTCATTTTATACCAAATCAATTACTCGCATTCGCAATTGGTGACAAGCATAACCAAAAAATATCTATTACTATAGCGATTATAAATTTATATGAAAGATAAGCACATGTACAATTTAATCATATCTTCATATTGATTGGTATGATTTATATATAGAACATTGGGTGAAGGTGAGAACATATTCCTAATTTTCCATCAAATCGTTCAGTAGTTGGTTTGCTTTGATAAAAGAAAAATTACAGAACAAATCTATCATAAGAAAAGATTCATTTGTTATATAATCATGATCAACATATGAATAGATAAAGTTTTTCAGAAAGTTAGCACAATAGTTAGTTGATGAGACTTCTGATATGAATAAAGTAATATTATCGTTGATTGATATGTTGAGTTGATCACTGATGAAAGCAAAAAAAAAGTATACAGAAATATCTTAGGAAATATATGTGTTCAGCTAATTAAACGATAAACTTTTGTTTTCAAATTATCATAAGTGACTAACATAAGAGAATATGCACCATGATTTGAAAAATTCTTATTCCTTTTAATGGAACATTTTACAATCGATACTTCGTGAAATTGTTGATACGGATAAAACGACCAAGTAAAATATGTGGTAACATTAATCTTATGAATAAGTAGATTTAGAATTAACGCAGTGATCTTTAGCGAAACTTTAGGTTTTCATTATCTTCTAATATTCAATAGTATTGGAGTCGATCTCATTAACGCTTTCGATTCTAGACTACTGATTAAAAGAAAATTCGAATTTTAATTGTTATCCAATGATTTGCGAGTTAGATCTTTTGACTAGTCAAAATATGATTGATGATTACATAACAATAAAATATTGTTTTATCAAACATGTAGCTAGCAAATAGATTTCATTTGTAAAGATGGTAAATAGAAAGCATCTCTCTCTCTCTCTTCATTGCATTATTATTTGATCGAAACTATCTCTAATCACCATGATAAGAGAAGAAAAGAGTAGATGAATCTACATTCATTGCTGTGAAACTTTTAACTTATTTTACTTTAGTTAAGATTCATGTGAACCCCATAATACCACAATCATATATGAAGCATGTATAGTGTCTCTCAAAATTGGTCATACATTTAATCAATCGCTTTGTTTTTCTGATATTTCAAAATGATTTCATCATATATTTATTATGTTGAACTAAAACTACTAAAAATGACACGCTTTGATATCGCTCAAAATTGATCATACACCTTCACGAAAAAAAATAAGGACATATTACGATTAAAAAATTTTGTATTTCATCATTTTGAACGAGAAATTGCATTTTTGTATAATGTTTTGACCAAAACAAAGTAAGTGAAATTTCGTTAAAACACTTTACAAATATGTTTTCTTATTGAAAAGACTGAAGTACCAAGTAAAGTATTCAGTAAGTTTTATGTGTGGTGTATGATCAATTTTCAACGTCATTGTATATTTTAAGATTTGACATTTAAATTAGTTATATAGAATATTGTTTGACGTTTACGAACAGTGACTCTAAAGGTAAAGCTTAGGCAACTTGGATTAGTTCTGCAATCTTGCTTGGAAGAGCTTCTTTCCATTCACCATCATGAGCAAGAATAATGCCAACTGTTCCATTAGACTGATCGATCCATTCGCGTGTTCGTCTAATAGTCTTCTTAGCTTCCTCAATATCTTCGTGTCCTGATGTACCATCTTCGAATATAGCAATTTGTTCTTTGCCAACCAGTATTCGTTTAGAGTGACAACAGTCTCCACCAAGAATAATCATTAAATCATCCTTCAATCGTACTACTGCCATGATATGCCCTATAATATGGCCAGGTGCATGTACGAAATAGAGTGAGCCATCTTTGAAAAAGTCATATGCATAATCAAATGTAGCAAATGGTGATACCCATCCGTCTTCATCAACTGGTGGAAGTTCCAATGTCTTTATGTTTCCAGAGAAGTGCTCTGCATGGAATTGAGATGATTCTTCGTGTGGCCATCCTGGTGAAATTTTCTTCTGTGTTCCCGATCCGTAGATTGCGATTGTATCGCGAGTAATGACATTGGCATCCGATTCAAAGAATTGAGAAATCGGATAACAGTGGTCCCAATGTGCATGCGAATATGCCACATACTTGATCTTGGCTCCTGCTGGAATCAATTTTTTGATGGCTACATCCATCGGTTCTTTGCTGAGATGTGGTACAAACGAACTGTACATTTCGAAGGTTTTCGGTGTATATGTAGTCGCTGTATGCGACATACCCAAATCAAACAACATATACGTGTTTGACTGTTGATGTCGAATGAGAAACGCATAGTCAGGTACGTAAGCTTTGTCTTCTTTTTTTGCTGATGCATGGAGCATCGACATTGGTGCCGTTAGTCCACCTCGAGTTAATACTGTTACATCGCAAACAGAATTTGATTTTGGAGGAGGATGATAAGTCATTTTTTGTCGATGTGTTCGTTTGTGATGTGAAATGAAGACTGAATGATGGTGAATGCGTGTCCTTCACCTGATTCGTCTCACTATTTGAAAACAAAACCATTCATGCATGACTATTGCTTAGTCTCAGACAGAAGAAGCTGGGTAATTATCAAGGTAGAGAAAATCGAACACAAAAAGGAAAGACAAATGTGACTTAAATTTTCTCTTTTCTTTCGCGTGAGGATAATTTTTTTTGAGAGCTGTCAACATGAAGTATTCACTGTATAGTCAAATCGGAATGAATTCATTGACTTTCAACCAATCGGTCAGCTTATTGAAAAATACTTATGGCTTTAATTGAAAAGTTGAATATGTTCTTGTAAAAACCGATGAATATTTTCATTTTTGTTTTGAAGAGCTATATACAAATTATTTCATTTATCTATTGAAGAGGATGCAAGTGTTAGTGTGAGCATGTAGATAGTTTTCGATGAAGAGAAAATTCACACCAATATTCTAAAGTAAGATGAATATATTCATCTCACTTTGTAAAGTTAGACGTTTCTTAAACAATTTAATTGTCGAAGAATTTGTTCCATAAAACGAAGTAGGATATGATATGCTAAAAGATCATACATCAATAAGAATACTATCCAAATGGTTATACAATGTCCAGCAATAACATTACATTGATGTGTTTCTACCTTTAAAGTGTGAAGATATTAAAAATCTAAATTTTTACCATACTCTTATTCTGTACAAAATTGATTGAATAGATTAATTCAAAAGACATGTTATACTTTTAAAATATCTTTATTGCTAGATTGATATATAAAGTAAACACAAAATATCGCTTCCAGTGAAAAAGTACCTAAATTTCAATCCTTTGATCTCATATTTTGGTCACAAATAGGGTAAATTAAACTCTGATTGCAAAAGCTAACAGGATGTGATTGACCTTTATGTGGAAGAACTAGAGGATCGACATGGAGTTTTTCTTCAGACGAGGATATGCCAGTATAGGAAAATAAATCTCATGACGTTTGATCTCTTGTGTAAGAGTTTTTTGCTGCTTCGATGACGAGTCAAAAGATTCATGGCAAACAGTTTTAGTTTGTGCGGTTTATGAAATAATTTTTGAGTAGTCTTAACATAAGAGTTGATGGAACTTGGCGAAAAGAGACCCGTAAATCCAGCGAATTTCAACCATTGGCCTTGAAATTTTCTCCAGCGAAATGACTGCTCTAATTAACTTTTTTTTGAAAATTTCACAATTTTAGCCATCGACAGAGAGAAGTTCTGTGCTGGGAAGAAGTCCGATACAATAAAGGCTTACCGACTCCTCAGGATTACATCAGATTGCAGTATCCTATCTTTGATACAATATAGACATGTGGAACTGTATATGTTAATAAGAAAATGAATAATAATGCATCAAAATCTTAGGCAACAAAGAAAGTGTTGAAAGAGCCTTTTTTGGACTCCAGAAAAAAACCAGCACTTTGGTCTGAAATTCGATGCAATAAGATCAATCTACTTTAAGTTGGTCCTTGCAATTGGGGCTCATCGAGTTCTACTTATCAAGATATCAGGCAAAAGAATTGAAGTTGATGTACTTTTTACCCAATAGCAAGACTTTTCTTGCGACTTCTCATAAATAAAAAAATTTTATTCGAAATTCATCCACTACAGTTGCTGATGGTTGAGAAAATTGAATTTTTCGAATAAGATTATGATTTATTTTTAATTCAGTTAGAAAATCATTTGTTTTTATTGAAAATAAATAAGCTCAAGCTTGGAAAAATATTTTTAAACGTTTTGGTACCCGATGTCAATGACGTAAATTAAGAAATGATCGATATGGAAATGAAATAAAATTTTCTTTTTGATCAATTATTTTATTAAATAATTTTGATTGTTTTATTTCTTCAATTTGTTTTTCAATGATTTGTTTTTCTTTCAATAATTGTAAATATTTTTCTTCTTGATTTTTTAAGTTCAATTTCATGATTTGATAGAAGATGAGTTATTTCATTAATTGAAAGTCGAGAATGACATAGATTATCAAAATGACGACGAATCGTTTTAAAATCCTTTTATTGAATTAAATTACTAAATAGAATTTCTAGAAGATAAACAAACATACTTTGATATCATCGACTGTAATAATCTAAGAATGTTGTTGTATATTCTTGTTGCATTGATTTATTTATTAAAACAAAATAATTCTCGCTTATGATTTAAAGTCAAAAAAAAACAAAAATTCGAAATCGTTTGAACAAGAAAAGTTACGTTTGAAGTATTTCTATTTCTATTTTTCTTAGTAAAATTAAAGACTAACAAAAAACAATATTTGTATGCAACTTGCATAAGCAATAAAAAAAATTGAAGAAAGTCACTTGATGACTCAATTCGATTAATCGATTCACATCAAAATTTGAAATCTCTATCGAAGATTAATACAAAAAAAAGTAAAAAATGAATAATTGTAAACGAAATAGATGAGTAATTACAACAATGGGTAGAAATGTTAATACGATGAGAAGCGTATCCAGTTTGAAATTTGATGAAGTTATAGAGCTATTAATATACTTTTAGCTTAATAAGTGTTGTTTTAAAAACCAATGGTTTCTGTGGAATTATTTAAGTTGAATGTTAATGAGAATTATGGCAAAAATATTAAAGAATAAGTTGTATTTTGAATGACTTTGCACTTTCGGAACTAGAAAACTTCTGTCTTTCTAGCATATATTACAACACGTATATAATGATACATATTATGAAAATAAAAGATTCTTAATAATAATGTACAACATCTAGGTAGAATATAAAATTGTTCTAGAAGGCTATGGCTCCAAATACAAATGATATCAGCATGGCATTTTATGCCAAATGAAAGCATGATTTAGCAATATAACTAGTTATTCAAAGGATGATCATGAGCTGGAGAACTACTGAAAGTTCGAAAATTTCAAGCATATATTTGAGGGCTTTCATGGGTAATCAATCACGAAAAACAGTTAAGTGCTGGGAACTTTTCCACCAATCAGACTTTGTAGAGCGCTCCTTGCCAATCATGTTAATAAAAGAATAACAGTACTACCGTCAAAACATTGAAAAAACTCATAGCTCTAGCAGACAGAGCTCTCTCAAGTTTTCCAATAGATTAACCGTAGCATTGTCATTTTTTTAAGTATAAAATTCAATGTTAATATTATTTGTATTTGAAGTTGTACTCAACTTGAAAAATCTAATTTCCTATATAGTATAATTTTAACCCTTTAATAACCGGTTACGCATATATGCATCATTGAACTTTATCGTCATGTGAAACTGATGTTGTCACCTATGATGCATATTTTTTTTCAACACATTTGACTAAAATAAAACATTAAACAGCAAGAACTTTTCACATTATCATTTTGTTACGATTTATGTTAGACTCATGCATTAAGAAACGAAAATATGCGTGGTGTAAAGTCACTCTATTTTACTTATGTATATCTTTTTATTGGTAGCCAATCGATTAATAACGTTTTATTGATTTATATATCTCATCACGAAACGAACATTATCAAAATAGAGATTATGAATATGAAGTTCACCAAAACAAACACCACTGAGTTTCTTTCAATCATTTATGTTTGTGGACTTCATTTTGATAATCTAGATTTCGATAATCATTCTCTACGTTCACTCTTTCTTAATATTTATCATATATACATATATATATTATCGATTCAAATATAGTGTGTGCAGTATAAATTATGACCTGATGTTTTCTAAGTGCCAAATTGCTTTTGAGTGAGGACTATGTGTATCATGTAGGCTCTAATGATCTATGAATACCCTGAAAAGATTTCAGGCTAATAGCTTATAGCTACAGAGATACTGTATTTTTTAGTAGAATGCCATGGTCGTCTTCG